GAGTTAGCTGCACAAAAGTGCTCTGCAGTATCAGTGCCAGCCTCATCTTCACCCCTACACCAAGCTTTGTAAGAAATTTTCTCCCCTTTGTAATCACCCCTAAAGAACTCAAAATCTGAAGATGATTTGTCATCTTCAACTTCATCTTCTTCCTCTGGTACATCTTCTTCTTCTTCATCTGCTTCTTCTTCTACATCTTCTTCTTCTTCATCTGCTTCTTCTTCTACATCTTCTTCTTCCACAACTGTTTTCCCTTTGTTAAAATTGCTGCTTTGCTGTGTGTTCATGTAGGGCTCATCAGGGGTTAAAGCTGGCAAACTAGCATTAGAGGCAGGGTACAGAACACCTTCTTGTGAAACTCTGTAAACAAGAAAATCACCAACATGATCAATGGGGATCTATTCCTCATCTGCTGGGCTTGGATCAGTAGCTTTTCTGACACTAATGTTCAGTACCTTATTATCAACAAATAAGTCAAGCATTTCCTCTAATGCCTCCTCACTATCCAGGGCCTCCACACCCTCCAGCCCCTTTCCCTCTTCCTTTACATATGTCAGAAATGCATCCATGCCATAGCCCTCCAACTCAACCAATGCTAATATGGTCAGATAACTGATATCTGAGGAAACTGAATATTTTTTCTCCATATTATCTATTCCTTGGAAATGTAGCCTCAAGTCCCAAATCTCTTCATCTAAGCTGTAGGATTAAATTGACAAACAACCGTTTTTTAAGTCACTGAACATTACTGAACTTTCTTCTAATTACAGTGAATGCACTGACCAAATGAACTAACCAAATGCACTTTCTTCTACACTGACTTAACCAATAAAATACAGTAGCATGCCAAGAACAAACAATTACTATCTCTAGTTCTAATTTGAACTAAAGCACCCAAACATTTTAACTAAAGGACCCAGACCAGAAACATTGACCAGTGTTTACCTCACTCCACCAAAGGACGACGCCCAATGGTGGCCGCCTGCTGGATCAGCGTGGATGCGCTTCGCCACTGCCCTGGCCACGCGGACTTCCGGATCTGAGCTCGCCGGATCCACAGGAGCCGCGGGCGGTGATGGCTGCTGCGACCGCTGCGCCGGGAAGCTCGAGCTGCCTAGCCATTTGTCCACCTATGATTGTCCACCGCCCTCCTGGCCGGTGCCGCCTTGGCTCAATAGCTCACCGCCGACGACATTTGGCTGCGCCGCCGCCATCGCCCACCTAGGTCACTACGGGGGAGAGGAGGGGGAGAGGAGGGGGAGTGAGAGAGTGTGTGGCCTGACCGCCTACTTTGGTTCCGACCGGACCGCGTCGGCTAACGACCGTTAACTGCCGCGCCGTGAGCGCGCGTGGCCACGTGGGCTGACAGATGGGCCCAATCCGTCAGAAAAACGGTTAAATCGCTAGTCACCGCGGGTTTGGATTTTTTGAAACAGCGGACCGCACGTTTGGTAGCTTTCTGAGAAAATTTAAAAACTGGTAGTTTTTTGGAACCCTAACCTGTAAACTAGTAGTTTTATGCTATTTACTCATGCTCGAGAGCTCCAGTGGTTTGCATGCCCACGTCATATCGCCGGACCACGACATGAAGCCAAGACTAACCAATACTACTACTACCCTAATATGCACAAGGAAGGCCCGAGCACCTTTTCATAGCCATCACCTGTCGGCAACACCGTGGAACGAGTCATTGGATCGGGACGGGAGAGTGGCGGGGAAAGAGGATGTTGCCTAATTTTTTACTTTGACATTCTCACACAAGCCTTCGCAACGTGTTCCATTCATGGGAATTTTAGAGCAACTCCAACAAAATTCCTTTCCTGATTTCAAAATGTGGTGGGCCAAAAGATTATTATAGCTTTTGGAACAAAAACCATCAAACACATGGTGGGCCAAAAGCCATCATAGTTCACAACAACCTCACACACTCCTGTCATCATTGTTGCCATCATCAAACTTAGCCAAGATGACCCCACGAGATAACTCTCAATATTGTCTTGACTTATCGTCCATATTGCTATCGTACATCTACATGATGACATGTTCCTCGGCCACCCTCTTGTTTCCTTTGCTCCTCGACGTCCAATGCAAGCCTACGCTCCTCAATGCCAATTGTTCTCTTTTTTTCCTCGACCTCTAGTGCAAGACTTTGCTCCTCAATCTCGAGTCTTTTTTTCTTCTACGTGCATATTTCTCTCCTTGGCCGCCAACTTGGCCTTCAATTTATTCTCCTATCTCATATTCATCTCAGTGAAACAAGTCATCTTCTCTTCCTTTTGGTCGGCCTCCAATACCCTCTCACCTCCACCATCGCAATCAACTCTTCCTTGTATGCTCCAAAACCATGCTTATTGGCCAGCTTTGCATTTTTATTTCCATCCAGCAGGACTTGAGGAGTGGATGGTTCTCTACAAAGTCATCATCATCATTAACTCGGGGGTTGAGCCTTTTGCCTCCATGGTGTTGTTTCAAAGTTCCTTCCTGCCCACTTATCATTTCCAACAAGCTCATTGTAGCAATGATGCAAAGTAAATGCTTTTGGAGCATTTCTCTTGTCCATTTACTTTTTAAGAGGTTGTATGATGAGATCATACTCATACTTGGGGATGCCACTTGGCGGCGCAAGGTTGACTAGCTAAACACGTCTTGCATTGATCTTGGATCACATTCTAACGATGAGAGTGATAAACCCAATTGTGCGGTTGGAGGGGGCGAACACATTGCTATTGTAGTACTCTTTGATACTCCACCAAAATCGCTCCTTTTTATCGCCCCGACAGTGTCATCAAGAGAGATGTTAATATGAGCTCCACACGAAGCTTTATCTTCCTTGGTGCTGTAGTCGCACAACCTACTCCTCCTCTTCAATGTTTCGTGCCCAACCCATTCACCTCCTCAACCTCCTCCACCATCTCGACATTTCTTGCCATCACTTACCTATGTGGCATGGTCATTACAATGTCTTCGAGCCTGAGTGTGTGGCTTGCATTCAATTGTTCCATGAAATCGTTCGCATCATCATTCAATTGTTTAATACAATACCAAATAAAAACCTAGCAATGAATACCAAATCATGCATCATTCAATTGAGCAATTGCAAATCAACAAAAAAAGTTACCTTGCGAGCATATCCTCGAGCACGCCGGCCTCACTCCTTGTCTCACCTGAATCCGTCTCCTCTTTAGCCACCAGGTGGAGAAGGGGCCGTTCGGTTGTAGGAGGCCGAGGAGTAGTCGTCAACTTTAGGGGACGCGGATGGGGAGGTGTTGGGGTGACTACAACCTTCTTCTTCTTCGCCAATGCAATCGTGTTGTCCGCTACATTGGCCGATGGTCATGCTTGCCTACGGGCCAAGAGTGATAGGATGGTGGCTACGGAGCGGCCGGTGACCAAAAGACATTGTTCCCTTGGTGTCACCGTTTTGGCCCTTGCGGCTCCAAATTCACAGGCGATGGTGGGTCTCCTGGATGAGGGTGGACAAGGGTGCGACTATCCATTTCGGTGATTCAGGTCCGATGTCTGTCGTTAGCGGGGCGAGCGATGGTAGTGTCGGGGTTGGGCAGGAAAGCTGTAGACAAGTGGTAAGGGGGGGGGGTAGGGAGATGGTTATACTTGAGGAGTTGTGGGGGATATGCTAGATGACGCTTAATCCCCTAAGCAAAACAAAAATTTCCTCAAATATAGCTTTTAGCAAATCTACTAGAGTTGATGGTGAATATGAGTTGAGAGTTAAGAAGATTAAAAGTCCACTGATTGATTAGAGGCAATGTCACTTAGAAATGAAGTAGGAAAGGAAAGGATGCCTTTTCTTTGAAGGAATGAGAGTTGGCTCCCTCAACTCACACTGATTTTTTCCTTCCCACGAGGGACCTGGTAATTCATGCGCAGGGCTCCATCCTGGATGCGTCTAATCCCTCCACAAACCCCTTTATGCAACTCTCATTCCCCTATCCCAAATGTTAACAAACAGGCTGTCATGAATTTGTTAACAAAAAAGGTTTGAATGAAAACATTCAACTAAGAAGTTGTATTTTTCTGGAAACTTTACCAATATACATAATGTTGTGACATGTAAATTTGCGAAAAATTCTCCCAATGATCAGACCGAAGAAGCACATATCTCTCCAATTGCAATAAAATTAACGAAGAGATGATGAAGTTATACTATGACTGAAATCATGCCCCACAAATTCTTATCGCCACACTATGATGACTTCTCAACAACATATACAACCTTTTGAAGTAAAAAAAGATTACATTTCCATTAAACACACTATAGAGAGTAACAAATAATATGATGCCGTCTGCTAAGCAACTCAAAATTTTCAATTGTAATATCTTCATGACGTTACACACTTCATTCTAAGTTCAGCCGGACATACCACGAATTCAACATTTCATCAAACTGATTGGCTTAATACTCCCTCTGTTCACAAATGTAAGCTATTTTTGACATTTCAATATGGACTACATACGGACTGAAATTAATGAACAAACACACCAAAATTGTCTATATACATCAGATTCAGATAAATGTAAAAAAACATCTTATATTTGTGAATGGAGGGAGTAGTAATGACACTTGCAATTTGTTTGATGGAATGTTCCAGTTGAAGTTCACAAGCAAGGCAAGCTACATTGCTTATACACTAGAGATAAGAACATGAACATAATAATCTCACTTCCAGAACTCTAGAGGACAACTTTCACAGACGCTCACACTGAGTCACACAAATATGGAGCATCAGGTACCCTCTGCTGGTTAACATCATGGGCTTATAGCTCATCTGCGGCAGCAGTTACGACTCAGAGTTGACTTTATCAGGCTTCACCTTACCCTGTGATAGAAACTAAATTTTAGTTCAGCTGATAACAGTATAGTAGATACTGCGATTTCAGAAAGCTGGAGAAATAATGGTGCATTAACAATGTTGATATGAACATGCTCAAGGACACCCAATAGCGAGTTTGGTCCTGGTTGATGTGTATACAGCCTATATTTAGTGATAGTCCATTCCTGTAAGGATTATCAGAATTTGCATTACTGTAGTACTGAATTAGGATACTTCTGCACCAATTTGGTACATTACTGACCAAATGTTTACATGAGATGCACATGATAATATTTTGACGTGCTTCTGTGTCTGGACGATAATTCACAAGCAGACAAGGAATATATCTTTATTTCTTCTAGACTTCCATATTTTCTGGAGCAGGTCACACAATAACTCGAGCAATTAGTTTACCTTGTGGGCGAGACTCAAATCCACAAGTACCAAGATGACTTGCGAGTTTCTCTCCACATTGTTTCTGCCAATCTTCTGCCACCTTGACATCAGGAGTTGTCCACACGACAGCCCTTGCTTCCTTATAATCAACTGTAGCAGAAGTAACCTCAGGCTGAAGAAGGGATTAAGAGTGGCCCATGGTGAGCAGCAGCAAAAGATCAAAGAAATAAATAAATAGTAGAAACAGAAAGGGTTTCAGGAATCTGGAATGATAGGAAGAAAACATCTAGACAAGTCAATATAGTTAACATCCGTATACAGATAATTGCTTTACCAAAATGCCACATCAACCATACATTTCCTTGCTCAGCAAGATGACAGCGGTTGCTTTCAGCATATGGGCAGCTGCCCTCTCTACCCAGTCATTGCTGCCATGATCGAAATTAATCTGTAAATGCATTGCAAAAATGAAGAGATAATTTCTTTCTCCCATCAATTCATTACTTTCTGATCAGGCGTCCCCCTCAACCACTGGCAGAAATTTCAAATATACAAAGACTAGCAACTAAAACTTTTATGGTCTTTTATGATGAAAACTTAAGACCCATATGGTTTCAGGTCATGCTCGGATTGAAGGCAGGCAAAAGAGGACACCTATCTGGGCAATCCCTATTCTCTAACCTCTAGTTTATTACTTAAGCTTCATCAATGAATTGCTCCTCTTACATTCTATGCACAAACTCAGTTCGATGTTGTGTTTCTTTTTGTTTCAGTTTCATCCATTCCCGTTTTTTCTTCAGTAAAATTTATATGAGCATAGGCATCAATTATTGCAATGAACAAAAGAAGATTAACCATAGTTCAGCACTGTCCTATTGTGCTGAACTACCCATTGGTTTGATCAGACATAAAAAAAAAAAATTCGAACCATGCAGGAGAACTGATTTCCCCAGGGAAATGAAGCAGAATTGCGGTAGTAAATAAGTGAAAGAGAGACGGCTACTTGACTCTCGAGAATCCGCTTCACACTCGCAGCGCACCCGTCGCACATCATGCCCTGCAAGTAAGAGCCAGACAGCAGCGCATCATGCCTGAGCCCTAACCCTCTCGGCCTCTAGCGCAAATCGAAGATAATAACAGAATGGAGAGTCGGGATGTTCGAAATTCAGACTAGTGGTCGGGGCGAGAGGAGCACCTGAACACTGAGCAATATGGCCTCAGACCCGGGCTCTGCGGCCTCGCCGAGCGCCGCTGCTGCGGCGGTGACCGACGAGGTAACGCCGCCGCGGGGACGCAAGACGCCACACACGCTGACGGAAGAGAAGGAAATGGAGGCGATGCGGCGCGCTCCGGCGAGGGGGGGTGAGGAGAGGGGGCTGGACTTGGAGGGAGAGGGGAGGAGGGGGGGTAATCTCGTGATTAGCGTAGACTCCATTGCCAGCTCTGATTTCTCCGTCTCCCCCGTTGCCAGAGATAGGAGAGCTTATCCGATCACTGTGCGTACAGTATTTCCGCTGTTTGAGCGGAAGGGCCGCCACGGCGATGATGACATGGAGTCCTAAGCAGCATATAGGAGCCATCTCCACCTGTTTGGCCCCTCAGCGCACCCGGCGAAGGGGTTTGGGCGTTTGCGCCGGTGTTTTTTTTGGCTTGGGTGGATCGAGTTTCCAGCTGCGCCCCAGGTTTCGGCGCTTAAACACAACAGAATTCAAAGTTCTCTTTCCCGCTATTAAAAAAGACACAAGTTCGGCGATCATCATGCCACAAGTCGACGATCATCATGCCACATGTCGGCGATCGAACATAGCCAAAGTCCGGCGATCAAAAGGATAGGAACCATAGACATGGAACTCAAATGGCAGGCTCCTCTGTCGTAGGGATGGGAGAGGTCGGCGTCGGCGTCGGCGTTGTGGGCACAGCTTCAGTGCTCGGCATTGGCGTAGGCGTTGGCGTAGGCGTAGTCGCGGGCGTGGGCGTAGGGGCAGTGGTCGCCGCCGGTCCCGACATCTGGTTCAAGATGAGGCCACGCTCCACCAGGTACCACGCCTTCACCTGCTCGTCCATCGTCGACATGTCTACCCCCATCAGGAACGCCAGGTCGGTGTTCCTCTTCTTCGGGCGACGTTGGTCCTGAGGAGGTTGAGCTTGACGTCCTGCTTCGTCATCAATGCTGAACACCTCGCCTCGGATTTCTCCTCCCTCTTGGCGGCGTTGCTCTTGGCGTCGACGATCACTGTTCTATCGACGATTGCAGCCATTCGGCAGTGGGTGCCGTGTCCCTCGCCACCTTGCCTATTTTGTTGCCATCAGGACGCCCTTCTACCGCCGCCGAGGCAGGCGCGTCCGGGTTGTAGACACCGTGCTTGGCCTTGGCGAGAGCAAGCCGGCACTCTGTCCATTTCTCGCACGACTCGATCTTGGTGAACACATGAAGGAACTTGAACTCTTGGTCCCTGTTGTCCAGGCGAAACATGTCGGACATCCGAACCATCTGCACAGTCAAAGAACAAGTGTCGACGAAGTGCACGGCGAAGAACTGGGCCAACGAGCGATGGCCATACCTGACGCTCGAAGTTGGCGCCGCTTTCCGGGCGAGCCATGACCTCCTCTTGAATCCCATGCCACTTGTTGCAGGCATGCTGGATGGTCGCCCAATGGTTCGCCATGGCCTTCTCGCTGCGATCCATGTGGATGTTGGCGAAGTCGGGGTCGACCAACTTGCGCTTGTCGAACGCCGTCTTAATCCTTCTCCAATACGTGTCGGATTCTGATTCGCGCCGGTGATCGGGTCGATGCTGACGGTCTTCCATGCTTTGGCGAGGCAATCGTCTTCCCTAGGTGTCCACTTGACGCGAGGCTCGCCTGGCCTGGCGTTGGCCGCCCGCTTCTTCTTTCTCCCTTTGGGCGCTGGCTCCGCCGGTTCTTCCTCCTCCACCTCCTCCTCGACATCGTCGTGCTTGTCCTCCATGTCGACGGTGGTGTCCAGCGTTTTGTCTTGCGTGCGGAACCCGAGGCATGAAGCGGTGTCGACCGAGCTGTTCGTGATGATCTCATCCGTGTCGACGTCGATGTTGTTGAACTATGGCGCCGAGCCGTGAGCAAAGGGTAGGGCCCCACGGTGCAGGCGATCCTGAGCACGTCGGCGGCGAGTAGCTGTACTCGGTGTTGAGGCCGGCGGTGAACGCGGGGGAAGGAGTGCACTGGTCGAGGTTAAAGACGGGGGGACGTGTGCGGCGCCACTCCATGCGGGAAGGTGATGCTGGGGTTGAAGCTGCCATGCGCGTCGCCGTCGACGTACCCAGGCAAGGGCGCGTACCCCCACAGTGGAGGCGAGAAGTTGGCTGGCGACGCGACGCTGTGTTGGTTTCCCCACGCGCCTTGTGGGCACTGGCCGGCCTGTTGAGGTGGAAGGTTCGTGATCCCCATGTCAGATGCCTCCTCCTGCTCCACCGCCGCGTCCCCGACCTTCTTCATGTTGAGCCTGTTCCACCGATCGGTGGTGACCACCGCCCGACGATCAACGTCGGCCTTCCACTGGCCGTTTGTCAAGCCTCGGGGCCTTGGCATCGGTGCCCTCAGCTTCCTCTTCTTTGGCTGAGCGAAATTGGTGGCTAGGCGAGGGGGCACATACTTCTTCGGTGGCATGGAGGGCGGATCTGGGAAGAATGGCGGGAGCGACGGGGAAGAAGGGGGTCGGTGATGGAAAATGGAGGGAAAGGGGGGAAACAGCGGGAAAATTGGCCGGTGTCACCGACAGCGCGGGCCCACACACCTTTTCTCTTAAGCCGGTGCCCACAGGCGACCCCTGGTGCGCTGGGCTCGGCTTGGGTTTGTCGGTTGTAATTTCGGCCCAAACCGGCAAAAAACGAGGATCTAGGGGCGGGCTGGATCATTTTTTCGGCGCCGACGGTGAAAAAGGCGCCCTGGGGGCCTGTTGGGGGCGACTAGAGATGCTCTAAGACTTCCCATGGTGGGGGAGTAAGAGCAACTACAACGCAGTGACTCAAATGGACACGGATTTTGTTTGCTTTTTGTCCGTTTGGGTCGGCTGACGGACATCTATATCCGCTTTTTCATTTGGGTCAGTCGGTGTGCCCAACACGGGGCAGACGCATTTTGGGCATGTCCATCCCAGCATTTCTTCAAACACCTGATGGGCTGCCGCCCTGGGCTGCTCGTCGACATTAGCCTCGAGCTCCTGCCGCCGCACCCGCGTCCTGCCGATCCTTCTGCGCCAGCCATCGCGCCTTCATAAGTTTCCATCGCATCTACTTTTCCAAACTTTTTGCCCTTGTTTTGGACTCTAATTTGCATGATTTAAATGGAACTAACCCGGGCTGACGATGTTTTCATCAGAATTGCCATGGTGTTATTTTTGTGTAGAAATAAAAGTCCTCGGATTGACCTGAAAATTTACGGAGAATATTTTTTGGAATATATAAAAAATACTGGCGAAAGAATCAACCAGAGGGGACCCACCAGGAGACCACAAGGGTGGAGGGCGTGCCCTACCCCCCTGGGCACACCCCCTGCCTTGTGGGTCCCCTGGACCTCCTCCGACCTTAACTCCAACCCTACATATTCACATCCGAAGAGAAAAAACATAAAGAAGGATTCATTGCGTTTTACGATACGGAGCCACCGCCGCCGCCGCCTCCCGTTCTTCATCGAGAGGGCTGATCTGGAGTCTGTTCGAGGCTCCAGAGAGGGGGATTCATTGCCATCATCATCACCAACCTTCCTCCACCACCAATTTCATGATGCTCACCGCTGTGCATGAGTAATTCCATCGTAGGCTTGCTGGACGGTGATGGGTTGGATGAGATTTATCATGTAATCGACTTAGTTTTGTTAGGGTTTGATCCCCAGTATCCACTATGTTATGAGATTGATATTGCTATGGCTTGGCTATGCTTAATGTGTGTCACTAGGGTCCGAGTGCCATGATTTTATATCTGAACCTATTATGTTTTCATGAATATATTTGTGTTCTTGATCCTATCTTGCAAGTTGTAGACACCTATTACGAGTATGATCCACATACCCCTAGGTGACAATAATTGGGATTCTCCGGTGATTACCGTAGTTTGAGGAGTTTATGTATTCACTAAGTGCTAATGCTTTGGTCCGGTTCTCTATTAAAAGGAGGCATTAATATCTCTTAGTTTCCATTAGGACCCCGCTGCCATGGTGTGACGCCCCCGATTCAATCGTACACTAATCATACACGCAAACGTGTACGATCAAGATCAGGGACTCACGGGAAGACATCACAACACAACTCTACAAATAAAATAAGTCATACAAGCATCATATTACAAGCCAGGGGCCTCGAAGGCTCGAATACAAGAGCTCAATCATAGACGAGTCAGCGGAAGCAACAAATATCTGAGTACATACATAGGTTAAACAAGTTTGCCTTAAGAAGGCTAGCACAAACTGGGATACAGATCGAAAGAGGCGCATGCCTCCTGCCTGGGATCCTCCTAAACTACTCCTGGTCGTCGTCAGCGGGCTGCACGTAGAAGTAGGCACCTCCAGTGTAGTAGGAGTCATCACCGACGATGGCGTCTAGCTCCTGGGCTCCATCGTCTGGTCGCAGCAATCGGGTATAGAAAGGGGGAAAAGGGGGAGCAAAGCAACCGTGAGTAGACATCCAAAGTACTCGCAAGCAAGGAGCTACACTACATATGTATGCATTGGTATCAAATGGAATAAGGGTATCATATGTGGACTGAACTGCAGAATGCCGGAATAAGAGGGGGATAGCTAGTCCCGTCGAAGACTACGCTTCTGGCCACCTCCATCTTGCAGCATGTAGAAGAGAGTAGAGGGTAAGTTCACCAAGTAGCATCGTGTAGCATAATCCTACCCGGCAATCCTCTCCTCGTCGCCCTGTGAGAGAGCGATCACCGGTTGTATCTGGCACTTGGAAAGGTGTGTTTTATTAAGTATCCGGTTCTAGTTGTCATAAGGTCAAGGTACAACTCCAAGTCGTCATGTTACCAAAGATCACGGCTATTCGAATAGATTAACTTCCCTGCAGGGGTGCACCACATTTCCCAACACGCTCGATCCCCTTTGTCCGGACATACTTTTCTAGGTCATGCCCATACTCGGAAGATCAACACATCGCAGTCCTACCTAGGCTCAACAGAGAGGTCAGCACGCTGGTCTAAATCCTATGGCGCAGGGGTCTGGGCCCATCGCCCATTGCACACCCGCACGTTGCATACGCGGCCGGTGAGCAGACCTAGCCTCCCTTATACAAGAGCAGACATTCTAGTCCAACTCGGTGCGCGCCGCTCAGTCGTTGACGTCACGAAGGCTTCGGCTGATACCACGATGTCGAGTGCCCATAATTGTCCCCGCGTAGTTGGTTAGTGCGTATAGGCCAGTAGCCAGACTCAGATCAAATACCCAGATCTCGTTAAG